GCACCAACACTGGAAGTTTTTAAGAAGAAACTGGACAGCCATTTGTCCAAAATGGTATAGGGTTTCCTGCCTGAGCAGAGGGTTGGACTAGATGACCTCCAAGGTCCCTTCCAACATAATCATCATCATCATCACCATCATTATTATTATTATTATTATTATACCTGCTATTTGAAGAAAAATGGTTGAGCTGTTTGCCAATGAGGGTGCAACAATGAAATTCACAATTCTTCTGGCACCCCTTGATTTTAATCAGAACACATGCATGCCATCCCGAAATCCTTTTGAACTCTTCTAATTCAAGGGCTGGCTTTATAAGAGGATAAAATTGTTATCTAGAGAAAACAATAGGGTACAATGGCAACCAACTTCTTTTGAGTTGTGGACATCTTTGAACCTTACGAAAGGTGTAGGACAATTTGGAAAATAGATGATGTCAAAGCTGAAACATATCCATTATAATCTCATCTGCCTTTTTCATAAATTTTTTCCCTGCTACCTGCACTCATTTTTTCAGTCTTGAAATTAAACATTCAGTTTTAATTTTAACTTTCTATAAAAAGATAGTAGGACAGAAAACCTTCAGGACAGCATATCATTTCTCAACTATGCTTGTGTTCTCATGGTTATCTCTGCTATTGCAAGATTTTGTCCTCTCATAACTCAAGCAAGCAAAACAGGAAATTAGTATTGTTTGCAATCCTTAAGCTGTTGCAGAATCTATTAGAACACAAACTTCTTAGTCTAAAAATTATATCAACAGGCTATACTATTCCATTCTAAAAGACATGGTTTAAAAATATTTTCAGATTGGTCTCCCCCCCCCCCATTATATTCTCATTTTCAATATGATAACTTCAAGCTAATGATCACAAATACACTTACAGGACTTTTTGATAGTTTTAGTTAACAAAAATATAGCAAAAAATATCCAATATCTTCAGTGCTATCTGATAGTTTTAGCTAATAGTTACATGCTAACATCACTATTTGCTTTTGAAGTTACTTTGGATTAGCAACAAATGATATTAATCTCTAGAAATCCATCTACAAGTAGTAAGGTGACATGTTTATCAAATTATCTGTGATATGAATTTCTGCTTGAAATATAAGATGATTCATGAAATTCTCTTTTAAACTGAATTGATAAAAGTGATCAAATTGCATATGCCTCTTAAACTGAAAATCTGGGACACAATATATTTGTTATTTATTTATGTATTTGTTCAAACAAGGTATATGGCTTCCATTTCACAATAGTGACTTGGGAGACCTAACATAGAAGTTAAAGCCCAATAAAAGTTTTCCATAATAATTGGCAATTGAGGACGACAGTCACTATAATACTTGCATTTCACAGGTTTCATTCACCTCTCAACCCCATATGTTTTTAAGGCTTTATGAAAATATTGCAGAACATCAGAAAAAGGAAACAGATCATCTATACCAGGGGTCCCCAACCCCCAGTCTGTGGACTAGTACTGGGCTGCAGCTTGCCAGCAACCGGTCCGCACCAACAAGCAAAGCCCCATCCGCGGGATGCAGGCAGCACACAAAACCATGCACCCTCCAGACCAGTGGTTCTCAACCTTTTTAATGCCGCGACCCCAACCGGTCGTAAGTCGAGGACTAAACCGGTCGTAAGTCGAGGACTAAACCGGTCATACGTCGAGGACTAAACCGGTTGTAAGTCGAGGACTACCCAACCGGTCGTAAGTCGAGGACTTTCCCTGCCTGGGAGCGCCGCGCATGCGTGGTTCTGCCCCCTGCGCCGGCCAAGGCATAGCTGGCAAGCGGCAGAGACGGAGCAGGCCGACCACCAGCTGGCCCAGCTCAAGGGAGGTAAGGCACCCACCGGAAAAGGGGAAAAAAATGGCGGACAGCCTTGCTTGGCGACCCCCGTGAAATGGTTGATCGACCCCAAATGGGGTCGCGACCCATAGGTTGAGAACCGCTGCTCCAGACTGTGGAAAAACCTCTCTCCATGGAACTGGTCCCTGGTACCCAAAAGGTTGGGGACCTCTGATCTATACAACATCTTCCCCAAAAAATGGATACCCACACAATATAGTACAACCAACCCAAGCTGTGAAATGCATAACACTGCCATACATAAAACATATTTCAGAAATCATCATTAGAGCCACATGGCATCATCGACTACACAAACCAATTAAAGCCCTCCAAAACGTCCTAAGTAGACCAAAAGACCCAGCAGCCCGTGAGGAAAAAACAGAAGTCCTCTACAGCATACAGTGAAAGGCCTGTAACAGCCACTATGTAGGACAAACAGGCAGAAAACTAGCAGAAGGCATCCATGAACACCAACTAGCATGCAGAAGACATGATGAAAACTCCATAATTTCACAACACATGGACAGACTTAACCCTAGTTTCAACTGGGAAACTATGAGTATCCTAGACTAAGCAAGTCCAATAATTCCTGAAAACCTGGCACTCAGACAAACGCCATCAGCAGACATACAGAGGTAAACAATATCTAAATGCCATTTAAAAGAGAATATTAAATATAAAAATGCCCCACCAACCATTTTTTCATCCAGCAGAAAATTCTTATGATTAATAACTAAAATAAGAAATAAATAAGAAAATGTTGGTTATGGAAAAATAAAAAAGGGTGAATGAAATTCTTAGGAATAAAATGTTGTTTCTTAATCAAAAAGCTACACCTTTTTGTTTGAGCTAATACTGTCAGTTTCAAGCAAATTTTCTTTTCATGGGGATTTGAAAATAGTTTTGATATCTCTTGTCTTCTAGTTCCAGCTTTGAGTAGAATCTTTTTGAGCAATCCAGAAGGCTTTGATTTGGCTCAGAAATCATAAGAACTTTATATAATAGCATTAAATGCTACAATTTAGGTAGAATATGAATAGTTTAAAGGTAGCTGTCCATACAGTATATATTAGACATCATTGATGCCTCAGAATGAAGATTCTTGATACATTTTAATGTGATTGTATTTTTATGATTTTCTATCTGTCACTCAGACTTACTTCAAAGTGCTATATTATCATTTGTAATGAGAACCTAACCTTATATATCTATTAATCTGCATGGTGAAAATGATTACAATATTTTCTGTAATATAAAAAATCAATTAGAGTATTCATATTTAAACTAATATCTACTTCTAGAACTTACTTATTTCACATATCCTTTAATTCAAGGGTGTCAAACCTGATCCCATCGTGGGCCATATTGGGACTTGCTTTGTCCTTGCTTGGCTGGGCTGGGTGTGGCCTGTGCAGGCCGCATCCGGCCCACAGGCCGTGTGTTTGACATGCCTGCTTTAATTGTTATTGTCATTCTTCTATTTAACAAACTGTTTCTTTAGTTTCCAAGCATAAAAAGTGAAATAGGTTCTTATGTAACAGATTCATTTATCCTGTTCATTAAAGTAACATGATTCTTAATCCTAATCCACTTTTGAAAGTATAGCCTGTCTTTATGATCATTATCTCATTAATTTTTTTGTCCAAACTATATGTAAACAAAATATTTTTAACACATATATAAAATCAAAGGATTTTTAAGTGAATGAGTAAATGAAATTGTAGAAGTTGAATTATAATAAATTCTACACTCTTAAGGGTATTTCTGATAGCTGTCTAACCAAAATACTGGTAAGATGGTAAATACTGGTAAAATCTGTATCATTGGATATCCCTGGTATGAGTATATATATTCAGATAGCTGTTTACTTTATTGTAATGGCATTAATTTTCTACTGAAACCAACTCCCTCCCAAAAAATATCCAAAAAAGGACTAAAAATGTGGAATCCAAATATCCAAAACTGGCAAATGCTGCCCTTGGAAGCAAATAAAAACATAAGTTACAGCTTTGATTGCAGAAAACTCCTCCACTCTTTCTTTACATTAAAATGAAGAGAAATTTGTTGCAAATTCAATCAAAATTGCATTTGATATTGACCGTATGTAATTAACAAGACATTGAAATAATGAAATAAATGAAATATGTGGGCTACTAAGTAATACCATGGTGGTTCTTCGGAATTCCTTGATAGAAGATCAAAATAAAAATATGAAGCAAAGAATTGGACAATTGAAATGATGTATACATCACTTTGCTGTGAGTTTACTTGCAAAGCAGGGCACAGATTCTGATACATTGGAACTAATTTAGAAAAAAATTTGAGCATAGGATGCAAGTTTGTGCTTTTCCACAGTTCAATTCTTGTAAAAGCAGTATGTGATATTTTAAGTTAGTATTCAGTTATCATTATAGCCATGAGACTTCTTCAAATCTGACGTATCGGGGTTAAAGATGTATTTAAGGCCTCCTTTTGAAACCTGGAAGAGGAAGGTTAAGGATGAAATGGTTATTCTTTCACAAATTCTTTTCTTTGGGCAAAATTAGTGTGAAGTATGCTACTAATGCAACATAGCAGTTTAGGAGTGCTCTGCAGTTGTCAAAATAGGCTAGGGAGTCACAGACAATTCATGGATTATGTAGTTTGGCCCTAGATTAAACAGTATGGCTGCCTATGCTGTGAAAGCTATACAGTATATGCAAAAGTACTGTTGCGTATCTTTATTAGTCAATTTCTGCAACTAATTTTACTTTAAAATGCTATGACAAAATTTAGATTTTAAACAAATAAAATATAGAAAACATTTATATATTCCAACTCGGTGTTTAATTATAAATGCTCTTCCATGCTAATTAAGTTTTATATATAAGAATATGACAGAATTTTATTGAACAATCATTGGGGATTTTTCTAGAATTACAAATATTTTTTTTGCCCCTTTTAGTCACTTTAAAGTTTTCCCATCTGTACAAAATGAAGTTTTGGAACCACAAATTAAGGCAGCTTTAACATTACCTGTTACTGCATTTGTATACCAGAGAGAGAGAAAGAAAGGTTTGTTAATTGTTTTATGTGCTCATCAATCAGATATTATTTGGCTTGTGTCCAAATCAAATCCTTTGAAATGAATCCTTTTAATTTTGCAGATTGTCTTCATGACCTTGACTCTGTTCCCCATCCGGCTGTTTTTTGCTGCGTTTATGATGTTGCTGGCTTGGCCTTTTGCCTTCATTGCCTCAATAGGACCTGCTGAGAAACAGCTAGAAAAGCCTCTATCGTGGTGGCGAAAGTAAGTTATTATGTCTATTTTATTTGCCAGTATATCTTGTCATACTTCAATTGGTATAGTATAAGATAGCAATGAGCTTCCCAGGACCCCACCTCTTCATCCTCCCACTAGCCCAGCCCCAGAATGTGGCAATTATTTCCAGTGATGTTATTTCAATGAAAGTAACATTAGGGTCAGGATGGGAGGGGTTTATTTCCCAAAGCATGAATGTATGTAGCCCTTAAGAAGCATGAAAAACTGAATTGTGGCCTCCAGCCTCCAAATATTGCAGCCCTGAGATCAGTAACTTAAAATATTTCTTGGTATGACTCTAAAATGAATATACTGCAGAGAATGTATACTTCCATAATAAGGCATAAGGGTTCTTATTATATGATAAGAATTCAATTCATAGAATGTTCTTGAGTGCACTCTTCTTTCTTGTCTTAGATAATTGGTTAAAGACATAATGCAGGAATAGCTGCACTGTGCTGTGCCCTAAAATATTGCCTCTGGAGTAATAAGTTCACATAAAATAGAAAAAAAATTCGATGGTTCAGTATCTCTGTTTCCCAGGTTGTGTGCTGAAGATTTCCCCCTTCTGAATGTGGTTTTCAGTACATAAATCAGGCAACAGAGTCGAGATAGATTTGCTTACAATGAATAACTTCATCCTACAATGCTACTTATTTTTCAGTGTAGAATCTTCCTGAATTACTTAAATTGCATCCATTTGCATTACTTTTCTTTTTAAATTTGAAGATGAGTTGCTGAAAATGTTGATAAGCTCTTGAGAGCACTGCTGTTTCTGGAAATATTTCTGTGTGTGCTCTGCCGTGCAATGTTAATACCAGGATTAACATAGGGTACATCTGATTGGATCAAAATCTAACAATTGCTGAGCAGTTTAGCCTTTCCTCATTCATACTTTTCACATTTAGTCATATGAGAAATAATGTAGAAAATAGCCTTCTGTTGTCCGAATGCTTCATCATATTATCTTAAAAGAAAAAGAGATTGTTCAGATGCCTAGTTCTGGTATAATTTTTAAAATAGAGACACTCACCTTTAGAGAATGCTTTGTGGCCAAGCTCCTTATGCATAAAAATGTAACTGCCTGCTTTGATTGAACATCTATGATGGATATTTACAGGGTGAGGGTCAGATATGCATTCACTTCTTATTTAATGGCCTTCATAAAGCTGATCTGATTGTGAAACTTGGCTTTTTTATTTTCCTGACTCTCCCAGAAGAAACTTGATTATAGTTTCTACTGTGTTTCCCCAAAAGTAAGACCTACCCCGAAAATAAGCCTTAGCTTGATTTTTGAGGGTGGGCCTAATATAAGCCCTACCCCAAAAATAAGCCCTAGTTTTGGAGCGAGACGCACACCTAAAAATCAATCTGGAGTGGGGGAGTGGAGCTGACCCACGCGCCCCACACCCACTTACTGTTGCAGCCAGCCTCTCCTCGCCGGCCCACTTCTTCTGCGGCATCCCCTGGCCTGCATTTTGCCATCATTTCGCTGAGAACCGAACTACAGATTGAATCCATAACTTGTTTCTTGGCTGCAGAGGCCTTCTGGAAAGGCTTCTGATGGCAAAATGCAGGCCGGAGCGCCATTCTCAGCTGCAGAGGCATTTCCTTTGGCCACAGAAGAAGTTAGCCGGCTGGGCAGGGCTGTTGATGCTGCCGCCCCGAGGTGAGTGGAAAAAAAACCTCCCCAGAAATAAGACCTGGTGTCTCCTTTGGAGGCAAAAATAAATAAGACTGGGTCTTATTTTTGGGGAAACACAATAGAGTGTTGGACAAGGAGGTGGTAAAATGAAGAAAGCAGTTATTTATTCCAATCTGGATAACTTAGACTGCCTTCAGTCCCAGAAACTTTAGGACTCTTCCTGTTCTGGAATAATCATTTCTAGAAAGCAGTAAACTGTCCCCAAATCAGCACATTCTAAGAGAACACAGAATGATATGAGGACAGTGGAACTTTCTGCTATAAGTTTTAAATACAGGTAATGAGCATTATAACTTAATTTTCATTGAATTTAAATTGGTTGTTTTGTCATAACTCCATCCATTTCTGCCCCCCTTTTTTGAACTGAATGCCCTGACATGCTACTTAAATGCCAAGTATGGTTGTTGGTCCCCAAATTTACACACCATCAATTTACCTTAAGTGGTAGTAATTTTTGTTTTATAGTGATCTATTGCAACCATCTGCCTTTGGAAGTATGTATAATAAAATCAGTCACAGGAATCACTGGGCACATAGGTCACATTTTACTGTTTAAGTAACTTTTAATTCTCTGACATAACAGTATGATGCTTTAAAATTAAAAACATTCTCAAGAAACAAGAACTTTTATCTTTTTTTAATAAATTCAAAATTTTTGGCCAGCTAGGAAGGCTTAGCATGTTATTTTAAAATAACAAGTTTGCTTTTGCATCTGTTGTATCCACTTGTTTTCAGAATTATTGATATCTTGCTGAAGGCAATTATGAGAACAATGTGGCTTGCTGGTGGATTTCATTGGATAAATGTGAAGGGTAGACGGGCATTGCCCACTGAAGCAGCAATTCTGACCCTGGCTCCACATTCATCGTATTTTGATGCAATACCAGTAACAATGACTATGGCTTCCATTGTTATGAAAGCTGAAAGCAAAGATATTCCTGTGTGGGGAAGTAAGTAAAAATATTATCTTCCAAGTAATATTCAGATGATTGCATTTAGTTTTGGTAACTGAAAAACTATTCTAAACATTATACCAACTAAGCTAAACTATTGATTACCTGTTGAATGTAAAGAACAGAATTTTAAACAAAATCTTGGGGGGGGGGGGGGCTCCTGCAAAACACTTCATATTTTTAATACATTGTTACTATATGTGAGTCGTTCTCACAGGGTCATATTTGGGCTTTGAGAATCTATCAACTAGCCCCTTAGTTGCTCGCTTCAAAATCATTGGGATATGTATTATTAATCGAGCAAAGAATGTATTAACAAATCACTTCAAGGACCACTATTCTACTCAAGTAGGTTTAGAACCCCATAGCTATAAGGTTCAATTATACAGTTACCTATAATATTTTACTGATTACCATTAATTCCAAGATTTCTTTGTAACTACAGTTACACAAAAAAGTAAATATACCCCATGTAAACTATTTTTCTTGTTTAAACACATTTGGATATAATAATATTTGGTCTTCAAACAGTATATAAAGATAAGGGTGACAAAACTGAACAAAAAAGCTCTGAAAAATTGACTTTGCAATCATTTATGCAAGAAAAAATTAATATACTTTTGTATAAAAAATAAGTACATTCTTAATTCTAATACCTTATATATCCCTTTTGGCAGAAACAACATATTAAGCATGTTTGACAGCTGGGGGAAATTTTTCCCACTCTTCCGTGCAGAATTTTTGTCTCTTTGTATTTTTTAAATGATTCCATAAACAGAGAAGTCAACTACACTTCTTAATTTAAAGTTGCTATGTAATTTTCTTTCAGGGAGCTAGATTGCTTGCAACATTTGTAGTTACAACTGGAATCAAATTATCAGAAAGACAATTTGAGGGATTTCTTGCATAGCCTGTTTCAAACCGCTCTATAGCATATCAGTGAAATTTAGATCTGGGTCAAAACCTGGCCTTTCCATTACCCTCCATTTCCTTTTATTTCAGTGGTTCTCAACCTGTGGGTCGGGACCCCATTTGGGGCCGATCAACCATTTCACAGGGGTCGCCAAGCAAGGCTGTCCGCCATTTTTTTTGTCCGCCATTTTTCCCCCCCTTTTCCGGCGGGTGCCTTACCTCCCTTGGGCTGGGCCAGCTGGTGGTCAGCCTGCTCCGTCTCTGCCGCTTGCCAGCTACGCCTCGGCCGGCGCAGGGGGCAGAACCACGCATGTGCGGCGCTCCCGGGCAGGGAAAGTCCTCGACTTACGACCGGTTGGGTAGTCCTCAACTTACGACCGGTTTAGTCCTCGACTTACGACCGGTTTAGTCCTCGACTTACGACCGGTTGGGGTTGCGGCATTAAAAAGGTTGAGAACCACTGTTTTATTTGTTTGCAACCATCTCTTGACAAATTTACCGGAATGTTTCAGGCCATTGTAATGGTGCAAGGTGCTTCAGTCTTCTGACAGATTGTTTCATATTATGTTTCAAGCATCCTCTAATACTATGAAAAAATAATAATAAGTTCTGTGATAAGTGAGTTGCTCAGCCCCTGATGTAACAAAGCAGCTTGAAATCATAACGTTGCCACAAGCAGGCTTTTTAGTTGTCATTGGGTTCTTCTGCTGAAATTCTGTCTTTGGTATTCTCCAAACAAGTCTTCTAGTATTATGGCCAAATAGCTCTCATGTTTGTCTTATTTATTCAGTTCATTTTGTTCCAGAAGTGAGTGAACATTTGTCTTGTTCTGATGTTCTTTCTGGACAGCAAAGGTTTGTTGTTTTGGCACAACTCCTATGTAAGATCTAATTTATGAAGCTTCTTTCTTATGGTAGACTCATGTACTTTGATATCAGCAGTAGCAAGAGTACTATGGAAAGTCACATAATAAAATGTCAAGAGTTAGAGACTTCATTCAGCACCTTGTGCTTTGTTTTCAGGCTAGCATGCTGCGCAAGTTGACAATTGTTTAAAATGTTCCTCCACTTGTAGATGCAGAGAGCAGTGGAATAAGGGGTCCTTGCTGTTCTCTGAGCTTGCTTGTTTTCTTGTAGATGTTTCATCACCCTAACTAGGTAACATCATCAGTGCTAGTAAGGAGTGTTGTTTGCTGTCAGTTTATATTCTGGTGTCTTGCCTGTCTGTCTGGGTGGGCGATCTTAGGGATTCTTTGGTTGGGCTGTTTACTAATGGCTCTTTGGCAGTTTCTTGATTGGGGTATTTATTGCTTACTTGATTGTTGGTCTGAAGTTTACCATACCTTCTACAAAACACACATATTTTTGATCCATGTTTTTGCATGAAGTATTTCTATTCTAGGTTTTCAGCATAGCTTTTTTTCAGAGGCTCCCTTACTTTATCTTAGCCTTTAAAGCAGTGTTTCTCAACCTGTGGGTCTGGACCCCATTTGGGGTCGATCGACCATTTCACGGGGGTCGCCAAGCAAGGCTGTCCGCCATTTTTTTTGTCCGCCATTTTTTTGTCCGCCATTTTTTTCCCCTTTTCCGGCGGGTTCCTTACCTCCCTTGGGCTGGGCCAGCTGGTGGTTGGCCTGCTCCGTCTCTGCCGCTTGCCAGCTACGCCTCGGCTGGCGCAGGGGGCGGAACCACGCATGCGCGGCGCTCCCGGGCAGGGAAAGTCCTCGACTTACGACCGGTTGGGTAGTCCTCGACTTACGACCGGTTTAGTCCTCGACTTACGACCGGTTTAGTCCTCGACTTACGACCGGTTTAGTCCTCAACTTACGACCGGTTGGGGTCGCGGCATTAAAAAGGTTGAGAACCACTGCTATAAAGGCATCTATAGGAAAAAGCTTTTAAATGGCATTGGAGCGTTCTTGCCCTTCCTGGACAAGAAATTGCTTGAAAATGTTTGGATTATTATATTTTCCAATGAGTAAGAGGTTTTCCGATTATTAGTATATTAGTTTAAAAGTATTTTGTTCAATGTGTGTATGTTTTCTGTTTGTTTCTTAATCAGTGTTTGTCTTAGATTGTGAATTCAGATAATTACTTTGGTTGATGATACTTGTTGGTATTTTTTAAGTGATTCCATAAACAGAGAAGTCAACTACACTTCTTAATTTAAAGTTGCTATATAATTTTATTTCAGGGAGCTAGATTGCTTGCAACATTTGTAGTTACAACTGGAATCAAATTATCAGAAAGACAATTATTAGATATTGCTCAGGATAAACTCCGCAAATTTTTACGATAACTGCCTCCCAAAAACTTGTTGAATATTGCTGAGCCCTTGCATCTTGAGTGTAACACTTATTTGCCTGTTGTGGAAATGAAAAATATTATATTTTAATTGGTTTTTTTTCTCACAAGTAAAAAAATCAAGCTCTTACGTAAGATGTTTTAGGGGGAATTTTTTGCTAGTATTTTTGGAATACATTTGACAATAGAAATAAATTCTGCCTTGGACTCACTTCTTTAGCTGAACTATAGCAATAGTAATGCTACAAGCAAACATTTGGGAAAGCTATCTGCTGAGCAAGTAGCTCCGGATTACTTACCTGAGAGAAGCAGATAAGGAAAGTCAATTTGCATCCTAAACAAAGATGGTAGAAAGTTTGAAATGTGATGAGATGTAGCCCAGTTCTATTTTTAAGCTGACATTTCTCTGTTACAAAAAATAACCTACAATATTATCATCCCACCAAGACTCTTGCATTTCCTTATCTCTGTATTCTAAAGATGGCATCTAAGAGATTGTTCAGTTCTATTCTTGTAAACAACACTATAAGGTGAGTGTCAGATGAAATATGGCAACCAACTTTCCTTAGCCTAGCTTTTTCAGAAAATCTATTGCCTGCTTTCCTACCCCCCTCTTGAAAGCACAGGAAGCTTTCATAGACAACTATTTTTCTTTTGCTTCACAAGTAACACAATACCATGCAAGTCCATGATGTTATAAATAAGTATAGTAAAATAGTTTAGCAAATGAGTCATGGAGTATGGTAGGTAAATTTGAGAATATATTTCATAGGCAATAGGGAGAATGAGAGGCAAGAAAAGAAGCTGCATGTACATAAGTAAAACCTGTCTTATTTGATTCCTGATAGTTCTGTGGATACAGGTAGTTCTCATTTGGCAACTGCAATTGGGATTGGCAATTCAGTTGCTAAATGAAAAATCATGTGACAGTGCTTATGATTTTACTTTACTTTGCTTTACAGCAGGGGTGTCAACTGGTGGCCCGCGGGCCGGATGCATCAGGCGTAGGCCACACCCACCCCAGCTCCGCAAAGGCAAAAAATGTCGCAATATGTCATGATAGGTCATGTGATGCGATCGAATTTGACACCTGTGCTTTACAGTGTTAGAAGGATATGACCCAAAGCAGATGGATGAGCCTAAATAGCAGGAAAGGTTTCTGTAACTCAACTCATAAGGAAGTTGGATAAAAGGGCAAATCTTATAGGTTTCCCCCCACACACACACCCTTGAGACTGCTCACCCCGGTGCTGGGATAGTTAGGAAAAAGAGAATTAATGGTTTATATTTTCATTGATTGGAGAAAAAGAGATTACCAGAGAATAAGCAGATACACAGTAGGGAATACATCAAAAAGAATGCAGTTAGTATGACCTGTTTGCCTAGAGCCCTGGCAGCTACGAACTAGAGCCACTTAGGGAGGGAAAGCTAAGTCTTCAATGTGAAACTGATTAGGGTCTTGTCAATTTCAGGCAGCAGCTGGGACTAGGCAGGAGGGATGTAATCAACTAAATCACAGAGCTTAGCTTGTTAACTTGTGGTTAGCCCTTTTTAAGGTCTTGTGGAGAAAAGGAGCTCGGGAGGAGAGATTGTCTAGGCAATTGCTCTGGTTTTTTTGGGGGGGGATGGAAGAGTCAGGCACAGGACAGTTCTTACTAACTGACTGGAATGACACACATATGATTGAGAGACACACTGCGAAGGTTATAAATGCCGGCATTGGTCACATAGTGGATTGTCATACCTGTGAACAGTTGTTGCCTGAGGCAGTCGCTCAGTGAGGAATATCTGCACATTCTTGTCCTTAGAAATAGCAAGAAAATAGTTTGCCTTTTTTTTTTTGTTTTTTTGGAATATTGTTTTGACTTCCTAATCTAATCTATAGCCATGGTGTTCTTGATGTTTGCCCTTGCAAGTCCTGAGTAGTTCCAACCCCATTGGCTTTTGCTGTATCCACTGAGTGTGCCATGCTGTATTTACATTTGAAAAGTCTCCAGTAAAAATTCAAAGCTCTCTTTGATAAAGTTGAATAAAGTTCCTAGGAGATGGCCTAATAATGTTCTTCAAATTAATGCTTTCCAAAAGTATTGAATTATAACTTTTAAAATTCTCAGTATATATCTGGAAATTCAAGTAATCTATCTAGAGAGTCAGGTAAGAAGATTGTTTTAGATTAGCTTTTCCTGTAAGAAACAGGCTATAATAACAGTGCAATCCAAAATAACTCCATGATAAATTATAAACATAAATGTGATGTAACGGCAGTCATGAACCAAAATAACATAATTTTAAAATTACATGGTGTTGACTTTATAAACTTTTCCCTAGGGCTGCTATGCTTTGGCTTTTTAGTTAAGTTTTCATCTCATCTAGAATAAGTAATTGTCTCAAATGTTTGAAGCTTCAAACTGTACTCAATTCAGTAAGGTAATTTCAAAAAAAGAGAGAATAAAATGGGTATGTTAAATTGGATTTTAAAAAGTGCTTCCAATTTAAGGGTTCAGTGTGCGGAGTAATATCTAAATAGTTTATTTTAGTTTATTTTTAATGTATTGCTACTATTGTAGCACTCAGCAGTGGTTGCTGTTGGCCATAATAAAAGTTTAACAGTTACACTATCTTTTTTCTAGAATATGTTTATCAATTATATTTTTCCCTCTATTTAATAATTGATGCATTTTATATAATCTAAACAACTTGGGAATGTTGACATTTTTGTGTTTTTTTCTAGCTTTAATCAAATATATTCGACCTGTGTTTGTATCTCGATCGGATCCGGATTCCCGCAGAAAAACTGTTGAGGAAATAAGACGGCGTGCTCAGTCTAATGGCAAATGGCCACAGGTATCAATAAAACATCTTAATTTAACTGTATTTCTTGCCTGTAAAGAAATACTATAAATATGCTATTTTTGTTCAACATAATTGCCATCTCCACTTTAAATCCCAACAGTGATTAAGACAAATTTCAGTTTGAATTCAGAATTTTCATTGCCCTATTGAATTAGCATTCTCTTACTTCTCTCCTATATTTAACTTGATTTAAAGTGGTAAACCTACCTATAAAAACAGAAAAATTGCTGTTTTTAAATAATACTTAGGAATTTTTAGTCCATATTTCTATTTCTAAACCTGCNGCGCCGTCTCTGCCGCTTGCCAGCTACGCCTCGGCCGGCGCAGGGGGCGGAACCACGCATGCGCGGCGCTCCCGGGCAGGGAAAGTCCTCGACTTACGACCGGTTGGGTAGTCCTCGACTTACGACCGGTTTAGTCCTCGACTTACGACTGGTTTAGTCCTCGACTTACGACCGGTTTAGTCCTTGACTTACGACCGGTTGGGGTCGCGGCATTAAAAAGGTTGAGAACCACTGCTTTATCAGATTCTCTTCATCTTCACTTAGCCTTTTCCTAGACATTTCACAATACATTGTGGGGCTTGTGCTTGACCTCATCTTCCTTCTCACACTACTTTCAGCTCTGTATATCATCTCCAACCACATTTTCTTCATTTTATTGTCCTAAATGGTATAGATTTGTCCGAAATGGTATAGGGTTTCCTGCTTGAGCAGGGAGTTGAACTAGATGACCTCCAAGGCCCCTTCCAATTTTTGTTGTTGTTGTTGTTGTTGTTGTTGTTGTTGTTGTTGTTGTTGTTATTATTATTATTATTATTATTATTATTATTAATTATTATGTGGTTGACAGCCACGACAGTCTTCACAGTACACAACGTAAGAACTCAGAGGAGAGTTACTGAGGAGAAGCACTTTTTTCACTGCATTTCTGTTTTAAAAGAAAGATAGAGGAAAAAATCTAGTAGGGACCATTTTAAGGGCCTCAATTAGCATATGTTTATTTTGCTTTTTATTGGAGCAGAAAAGAATGTGAAGTATCCAGTTGGTGTGGTCAGGTATAGGCTTGATTGATAGGATTTTGTGCTAAATACTTTTTCTTTTTAGAAAGGAAAGAGGGAGAAAATAGAGCAGAAAACCAAGTATCCAGCATGGTGCTAAACAGAAAAGTCATTGGTTGACTTTTAGGTTTATATGCTGAAACAAAAGACAAGAAATCCCTTAAAATTTTTGAAGGTCTTTAAAATAATAGGAGTTGAATATGATTGTTATATCGGACTCCATGAAAAGTAAAGAAATTAGTAGGTTTTGGAAACAATAGACAATTAGGGTTTAAGGTTAAATTTCTGATCTATAGAAATTTAAATGTAAATTGTCTATCAGTGAAGTCATATCATCCCAATTAAACATCTGTTTGTTTGAACCTAAGAAAGCCATTGACAAGTGGTTCTTACATGGATGACTTGAATGTGGAACATTATGCTCGGTACAATATTGTGTTGTAATTACAATTCTGCAGAATTATAAGAATTATAATTCTTATAATTCTAATATATGGTCACTTAAATTTTTCTTTACCTTTCTGAGTTTGCGTTATCGATGGATCCATTGGTTCAGGCTACTGGTTTTTCTCATAAACCAACCTGAATTAATACTCTCTGGTTTGATTAATCGTTTCATTAATCAGAATTATCAGGATTTGGAACATGGGACTTTATCAGTTGAAAGGAAATCTAGAAATGAAGTTTTGATTTGCTTAATAGCTTAATTCTCTGTTTTCTTACTATCAAAACCAGCATTCTTTATTTGGGCACTATAATATATTCGCTAACAAAGCCTAGGCATTAACTACATCTGTTTACAGAAGACATATAGCTGGCATGTTCTCAAATCATAGTGAATGTAACATATGAATGAGGTCAGTGTGGCAAACTGGTATAGTTCTTTTTCAGCAGTATTTTCAGTGGTGTTCATTGAGCCCTTGAAAGGAGGGCTGGGGTTGTCTTATCCAGGTTGTGAAATGAACCAGCATTTGCTGATCACTGGATAGGTATTCCTATACAGCAGTGGTTCTCAACCTTTTTAATGCCACAACCCCAACCGGTTGTAAGTCGAGGACTAAACCGGTCGTAAGTCGAGGACTAAACTGGTCGTAAGTCGAGGACTAAACCGGTTGTAAGTCGAGGACTACCCAATCGGTCGTAAGTCGAGGACTTTCCCTGCCCGGGAGCACCACGCATGCGTGGTTCCGCCCCCTGCGCCGGCCAAGGCGTAGCTGGCAAGCGGCAGAGACGGAGCAGGCCGACCACCAGCTGGCCCAGCTCAAGGGAGGTAAGGCACCCACTGGAAAAGGGGGAAAAAAATGGCGGACAAAAAAAATGGCGGACAGCCTTGCTTGGCGACCCCCATGAAATGGTCGATCGACCCCAAATGGGGTCCCGACCCACAGGTTGAGAACCACTGCTATACAGGTAGTCCTCGAACTTAACTTTTCTGTTGTTAAGTGAGACATTTGTTAAGTGAGTTTTGCCCCATTTTATGACTTTCTTGCCAGAGTTGTTAAGTGAATCACTGCAGTTGATAAGTTAGTAACCTGGTTATTAAGTGGATCTGGCTTCTCCATTGACTTTGCTTATCAGAAGGTTGCAAAAGATGATCACATGACCCCGGGACACTGCAACGGTTATAACTATGAACGAGTTGCCAAGTATCTGAATTTTGATCATATGATCATGGGGATGCTACAAAGATTGTAACTCTGAAAAACGGTGTTTACCTTTTGTAAAAGAAGTCTGTAATCGCATGTTGTGACTTAACTGTGCTATGTAATGGCAGCACTTTGCTTATGGAATGTGCGTAGAGCCTAGTAATAAAATATCCATGACTTTACAAAGGCCTCCCACTTCTGCAATTATAACACTGACCATTTTTGTTTAGTATAATATAAACATAGTGAATATTTGAATGATTTTTAGAGCAATTGTGTGCTTCAAAAGGGAAAAGTCTCAGCATTTATTCATTTCTGAGTAAAGTGAGCTTAGAAAATATGAGTATTTTTTCCCAAGAACTTGTTAGTGATTCATACAATTATGTGTCCTAATCAACTATCTTTTTCTCTGAATTGAATGAACCAAGCAATTTAGCATTTTCTTATATAGTGATCATTGTACCCCCTTTTCTCAATATTCTCCAATTTAATACTGGTAGTCCTCAACTTATGACCTCAAACGAACCCAAATTTTTGTTGCTAAATGAGACATTTGTTAAGTGAGTTTTGCCCCATTTTACAACCTTTTTTGTCACAGTTGTTAAGTGAATCACTGCAGTTAGTAACGCGGTTGTTAAGGAAATCTGCCTTCCCCATTGACTGCTTATCAAAAGGTGACCCTGGGACATTGCAGCCGTCATAAATATGAGTCAGTTGCCAAGTATCTGAATTTTGATCACGTGATCATGGGGATGCTGCAAATGTGAAAAGCAATCATAAGTCAGATTTTTCAGTGCCGTTGTTGTAAGTTGAGGGCTATCTGTAATATCATTTTTGAGATTGAACAACTAGACCTGAATTAAATATTGAAAAGTAACCATGCATTTTGAAGTTCTAATAATATTTAATATTGTCATTCAGTTATATTTTCAATATACCCAACTTTCCTCATATACAGATCTCTTGCTTAAATTTGGGTCCTTTCNCTTTAAATCCCAACAGTGATTAAGACAAATTTCAGTTTGAATTCAGAATTTTCATTGCCCTATTGAATTAGCATTCTCTTACTTCTCTCCTATATTTAACTTGATTTAAAGTGGTAAACCTACCTATAAAAACAGAAAAATTGCTGTTTTTAAATAATACTTAGGAATTTTTAGTCCATATTTCTATTTCTAAACCTGCAATTTGCCCATGAATGTTTATGAAGGAGGATGTTAAACTGTCTTCTCTGAATGTTGGCAGGCAAAGGAAATATTATTTTTGTTTATTGTTTTGATTACATACAGATTTATTATTTTATAATAATACATTTGACATAACTGATAATAATTCGTTTGAATGAAATTTGTGATTCATTAGCACTCTAGTTCTTTTGTTTATTAGATATCCAAGAGCTTGAGAATCGTGATTTCCTTTTCTATAGTGGTCGTTCATCTTACTATTTACATGGTACTTACAGTGATCGTTATTTCAGTCTAGTATATTACAAATAGTGGTGAGAGAGTTTTCAGGTTATGAGATCAATTTTTTTTGTCTTTTCTTTTCTTGGGCAAATGTGATACTTTTCCTGCAATCATTTTTTTAAAATATGCATACACATAGTTGTGAGAGATGAATGATCTTTTTTATTTTAAAACCTGTATTTTTGCACAGATGCCTCCTTGGCTTAGGAATTGTGCTCATCTACTAATGCAGGATTAGCAAAACAGAAAAAAAAATCCACAGGCAGATGAACAAAGAATGTATGTGCCAGGCCTATTGAGCTGACCAGTCCTGACCCTTTATCAGATTCTCTTCATCTTCACTTAGCCTTTTCCTAGACATTTCACAATACATTCTGGGGCTTGTGCTTGACCTCATCTTCCTTCTCACACTACTTCCGGCTCTGTATATCATCTCCCACCACATTTTCTTCAATTTATTGCCTTTTTCTTCATTTTATTGTCCTAAATGGTATAGATTTGTCCGAAATGATATAGGGTTTCCTGCTTGAGCAGGGGGTTGAACTAGATGACCTCCAAGGCCCCTTCCAACTTTTTATTATTATTATTATTATTATTATTATTATTATTATTATTATTATTATTATTATTATTATTATTATTATTATTATTATTATTATTATGTGGTTGACAGCCACAACAGTCTTCACAGTACACAACGTAAGAACTCAGAGGAGAGTTACTGAGGAGAAGCACTTTTTTCACTGCATTTCTGTTTTAAAAGAAAGGTAGAGGAAAAAAATCTAGTAGAGACCATTTTAAGGGCCTCAATTAGCATATGTTTATTTTGCTTTTTATTGGAGCAGAAAAGAATGTGAAGTATCCAGTTGGTGTGGTCAGGTATAGGCTTGATTGATAGGATTTTGTGCTAAATACTTTTTTCTTTTTAGAAAGGAAAGAGGGAGAAAATAGAGCAGAAAACCAAGTATCCAGCATTGTGCTAAACAGAAAAGTCATTGGTTGACTTTTAGGCTTACCTATATGCTGAAACAAAAGACAAGAAATCCATTAAAAGTGTTGAAGGTCTTTAAAATAATAGGAGTTGAATATGATTGTTATATTGGACTCCATGAAAAATAAAGAAATTAGTAGGTTTTGGAAACAAGACAATTAGGGTTTAAGGTTAAATTTCTGATCCATAGAAATTTAAATGTAAATTGTCTGTCAGTGAAGTCATATCATCCCAATTAAACGTCTGTTTGTTTGAATCTAAGAAAGCCATTGACAAGTGGTTCTTACATGGATGACTTGAATGTGGAACATTATGCTCGGTACAGTATTGTGTTGTAATTACAATTCTGCAGTGAAGGGTACATAATTCTTATAATTGTAATATATGGTCACTTGAATTTTTCTTTGCTTTTCTGAGTTTGCGTTATCGATGGATCCATTGGTTCAGGCTACTGATTTTTCTCATAAACCAACCTGAATTAATACTCTCTGGTTTGATTAATCGTTTGATTAATCAGAATTATCAGGATTTGGAACATGGGACTTTATCAGTTGAAAGAAAATCTAGAAATGAAGTTTTGATTTGCTTAATAGCTTAATTCTCTGTTTTCTTACTATCAAAACCAGCATTCTTTATTTGGGCACTATAATATATTCGCTAACAAAGCCTAGGCATTAACTATATCTGTTTACAGAAGTCATATAGCTGGCATGTTCTCCAATCATAGTGAATGTAACATATGAATGAGGTCAGTGTGGCAAACTGGTATAGTTCTTTTTCAGCAATATTTTCAATGGTGTTCATTGAGCCCTTGAAAAGAGGGCTGGGGTTGTCTTATCCAGCTTGTGAAATGAACCAGCATTTGCTGATCACTGGATAGGTATTCCTATACAGGTAGTCCTCAAACTCAACTTTTCTGTTGTTAAGTGAGACATTTGTTAAGTGAGTTTTGCCCCATTTTACGACTTTCTTGCCAGAGTTGTTAAGTGAATCACTGCAGTTGATAAGTTAGTAACCTGGTTATTAAGTGGATCTGGCTTCTCCATTGACTTTGCTTATCAGAAGGTTGCAAAAGATGATCACATGACCCCGGGACACTGCAACGGTTATAACTATGAACCAGTTGCCAAGTATCTGAATTTTGATCACATGATCATGAGGATGCTACAAAGATTGTAACTGTGAAAAACTGTGTTTACCTTTTGTAAAAGAAGTCTGTAATCGCATGTTGTGACTTAACTGTGCTATGTAATGGCAGCACTTTGCTTATGGAATGTGCGTAGAGCCTAGTAATAAAATATCCATGACTTTACAAAAGCCTCCCACTTCTGCAATTATAACACTGACCATTTTTGTTTAGTATAATATAAACAGTGAATATTTGAATGATTTTTAGAGCAATTGTGTGCTTCAAAAGGGAAAAGTCTCAGCATTTATTCATTTCTGAGTAAAGTGAGCTTAGAAAATATGAGTATTTTTTCCCAAGAACTCCTTAGTGATTCATACAATTATGTCTCTTAATCAACTATCTTTTTCTCTGAATTGAATGAAGCAAGCAATTTAGCATTTTCTTATATAGTGATCATTGTACCCCCTTTTTCTCAATATTCTCCAATTTAATACTGGTAGTCCTCAACTTATGACCTCAAACGAACCCAAAATTTCTGTTGCTAAATGAGACATTTGTTAAGTGAGTTTTGCCCCATTTTACAACCTTTTTTGTTACAGTTGTTAAGTGAATCACTGCAGTTAGTAAAGCGGTTGTTAAGGAAATCTGCCTTCCCCATTGACTGCTTATCAAAAGGTGACCCTGGGACATTGCAGCCGTCATAAATATGAGTCAGTTGCCAAGTATCTGAATTTTGATCACGTGATCATGGGGATGCTGCAAATGTGAAAAGCAATCATAAGTCAGTTTTTTCAGTGCCGTTGTTGTAAGTTGAGGGCTATCTGTAATATCATTTTTGAGATTGAACAACTAGACCTGAATTAAATATTGAAAAGTAACCATGCATTTTGAAGTTCTAATAATATTTAATATTGTCATTCAGTTATATTTTCAATATACCCAACTTTCCTCATATACAGATCTCTTGCTTAAATTTGGGTCCTTTC